TTTGCACTATGTTCCCTCAACTAGAGATACCACGCTCATCTCACTTCTGCCTTGCCTTGGTGTTTAGTCCAGACAGATAGGTAGAAAGATTTTCATGGTTAGCAGCAGGCCTAAATCAAGTAAAGGGAGATAGCTTTTGATTAGGAACACTAGGATAGTAAGTCAAGGACAGGCGCTGATACCAGTCCATTGGTTTGGACGCAATCAGTCAACCTCTGAGAATGGTCAGTCAGGATGCTGTGAAAAGGTGAATATCTGTCAGCCCACCACCAGTCTTTGGTGTCTGTGCCCCATAGTTTTCCTTCTGGAACAAGAGCGAGGCGGATAGATGAAAGTGGGTGGCACAGCTGTTACAGTTGATGCAGGTGAGGAGATGTCCCGAGCGAGTGAGTGGGCAGTGCAGAGGGCATCCAGTCAGGGGCTGGTGAGGGTGGGATTGACTGAGGGAAGATGTTGTAGAGAATAGCAAGAGTGGAAGAGCACGAACCTCAGAGGGAGGTGGGTACCATAATAGAGTTAGAGAGTGAGTGTGAGGTATTGGAGAGAAGTTAGTAGCACTTACGCTGGTGGAATGGCAAAGGCAATGGATCTTCTTCTTGCAGTGCTGGGCATTCTTTCAGGTGACTGAAACTGCACTGACCAGGGTGGCAACCTCAGACCAGGCTGGCATGGCTGGTATTGTGGCCTCCACTACTGATTCTGGGAGAAGAGAAAATCCCATCTCTTGCACCGTGTCATGAAACAGGACCTCCAGGTCTCTGCTACAAAGTACAATAACAATTTGCCCATGTCTCCTTGTTTGGGGCAAATGTGAGGAACCATGCAGGCCAGCTCCAGATTGACAGTGCTTGTCTGGGTACACAATGGGCTTTAAAAGATGGCACAGGTGTAATGGATACCAAAGTATTCCAGGATATCCACTAAGTAGTGAATTGTTTCCAGAATGGTACGTGGTAAGATGGAGCCAGAATTGGACATGACAGAGACCATGGGGTAGTGTAGGTAGTTAATGAGGCAGTTGGTAACTTGTTAGGCCTTGTGGCATAAATCCCTCTAAAAATCCTCAACCCAACTTGGATTTAGCCAAAAGAAAGATAAGATTGAGCCTTATATGTCAGACCCTTGTATATTTGTGATTACCATGTATTTAGTAATAACGTTCAATGAATAGTGTTACTTTGTCTTTTCCATGACCAACCTGTAAAGAACACAAACACACAAATCGATTGTGTAGTTTGATGCTGCACTATAAAAAAGATGTGATACAAATGGGATCCCTGCCTAAAGTTGAGACAGTGGTGAAAGTCAGGAAACAGACCAGAGATTGCCTGGAGAATAATTCAAGAATTTTTTTTTCAAGAATTTTTCAGTACAGCTTTAAGGCCAGGTAGGAGCCAGAAAAGCCACAGCTGAACTGCTGTGAAGGGAATACCTCTAAAGAGAAATTGTTCCAGAGAAACCACCAGAACATTTTTATTACCAGTAGTAAGGAAACAAAGTCTTTTAAAAAGCAGCAAGAGCAGTAAAAGCTCACTAGCAGCTAAAGGGAGAAATCCAAATTGATTACATGAAAGAGACCAATTACTGAGCAACCAACACATTGTAATGTCTAATAGGAAGGACAAAGTGCTTTGTTTCCACCTGTAAAACCAGACTGAGGAACATTGTTAAAGTTTCCAAACTTGAGTTAACAAATTTCTGAACTAGTTACTTGATGACAAAGTTAACAACCAGTAAGTTAAGATAATTCTTCTGGTACAGGCTTAAAAAAACTCAGTTGAAGAAAGGCAAAAACAACAATCAAAATTGCTTAATCAGAGTCCAGCAGTGAAATTAGAGATACCTTTATTATTTTGACAGCTTGATTGGCAAATTCAAAGATTTATTGGGTAAATAACAGGGTTTATCAAGTTAATTAATTAAAATACAAAACTGAATGCAGAAAAAGAGCACAAATCTGATTATATGGTGTTAAATTCTGCACAAAAATATCTCAGACACAGAAAATATTGGTGCCAATGATGTCAAGGTAGCCATCTTTGATATAGTCAAAATATCATTGTTTCTATCCACCGATCCTTTGGAAATCCATCAGCCATCTTAGAAAAGGAATATCTTTATTCATCTCTATGAAGACAACATATTCATAAAGGAAACAGTGTTTAACACAATAGAAAACTTTAGCAGCTTTCTGTTTTAGTACTACAATAACAATATTTACAAACCAAAAATTCAACAACTTTAATCAACTAAGATTATGACAAGACAACAAAATAAATGTAGCACAGGGAGATCAAAATCCTAACAATATTTTTTTCCTAATCAAGAATCAACCATTGCAACAAAATTCATCTATACCAATCTTGCCAATAGAAAAATTAACTTTCCAGATTCATTTACACATTAGCAAATTTGCAGTTGTGGAAAATACAATTACTGGCTTCAGCATTGGACACCAAATCTAACACAGAAAATATTACCACACTTTTCTATTTCGTGGGAACTACATCTGTTACATGGACAACATATTAATGAGAAGCAAATTATGTTTGACAACTCCATAACAGCTTTTGATCAACATTTTACTTTAAGAACAAACAGGACTTCATGCTTCAATAGCAGATATCACTTTCTGGGAAAATCTGTAGATAGTACACACAGGTTAATGAAGCTATCTGAACCATGCAAATATGGAAACTTACAACAAAAACTCATTTGTTGCAGAATAGTCATTGAACTTCTCCAATTGAAAGAGGATCTAACTCTAGAATAAGCAGTCCAAATAGCAGTGGATATAGAATCTACAAACTGTTCTAGAAGCAATAAACAGCAAAAGTTCAAACAAATTTAGAACTTTCTCCAGAATGTGCTGACAACTGAAAGCACATTAAACTGTTTGACCAAAGCAGATAGACCTCTCTAACAATATACCACATGTGATATCAGCATGACATATTAAGCAATGTAATACTCCAGCATGTTGTCACAGATATGGTACCAAAACCCGACATCAGCAAACAATAAAAACAGGTTAGCCTTCTGCCAACAATGTACTCACATTAGCAAAAGAGGTCAATTTTCAAAACACATGCTACAGTCTGAAGAACATACAAGACACTAAATCAAAATCATTTTCAACCCAACACATACATTCATGCCTTGGAGTAGTACCTTGAAGAACATACCTTCAGAAGTTCAAACATTCTGGGTAATTCCCACTGAAATCTGAGTGTTGTGACTTCTGTAGGCTTCCAACAAGCAACTTGGGTATCTCCAATGACCTAGGGATATGAGGGGTCAATAATTTTCTGCAGGGCCATACTGACTGTAGCATGATCTCTAGGAATGGCTCAAAGAACCAGGGAGACTGCCTTCCTTCATTGCAATGCCCCAATCCAGTTGCCATCAATCATTTGACAGCTGTAAACTCCTTCCATTCTGCATCCCTCCCCACCATCCCACCCCCACGGTCTCTTTAAATATTGAAACTTTTAGAATCAAATACAGGTCATACTGCTTGCTCAGATTGGTTGAGAAACCCAAAAGCAAAACTCTTAAGATTCACTTCAAAAGCCTCAGAAAACCTGCTGCATAAACCTTTGTGATCCAACCTATTACTAGCCTTCCCTGCTGTGACTAAATCCAAAAGTAACAATTCAGCTTCTGCCCTGTGACTTCCAATTGCCTGCAGAATGTTTAGGGTGACTACTGCATTCAGAGAGGTGTGTTACACCTGTAAGGATACATCAATCTTCCAAACAAATCCTGTGGAAAGAAGAGAGAGAAGTTCAAAGCCCTACCAATCACAGCCAGGACCTGAAGGTGATTGTTTTATTTTCAATTGATTATATCTACTTGGGCAATGTCTGGAGACAGAAAGGACATAAATTCACATCAGACTCTAACTAATATGATTTCTAATGAGACCTCTCATGGTTGTAATGGGTATATTTCCAAAGTGGACCAGGAGTTCCAGCTGACATGACTTCTTAAAGTAGGAATGCTGGCAGAAGGAAAATGCTAGAATTGAACATCCGGGTAAAATCCAGGTAAAGTTTGGTTCCACCCTGTTTTGCAGTATCTTGAACATTGATTCCTAACATTTGTAGCTTGATTTAAATTGTAACTTTGAGCACTTAGTCTATCTGAACTCAACCAAAAAATAGATCTTCCTAGAGGGAGAGGTGAAGCAACTATCTTTCTTTTTTCTTGTTCACCATTATTACTTTCATTGTCACTCCGAGTGTTTGACAAGGTATTTGCCAAAACTTGCTTTCATGGCCATATCTCATTCCTCAGTAACTCCCTCTGGCTCAGACACACCCCCCATGTGGATTCTAACTGAAGTTTAATTCTTTGTGTTTTGAATCCACCCAGGATCACAGATATCTCCACGATGTACACCACTCCTCCAATGACAATGTATCTTTCCTTACCTACGGGGCCCAAACCTTTTTACAGTTTTCCAGCTCTGGTCTCAATATTGCCTTGTACAGTTTTAGTAAGACCTCCCTACATTTACACAAAATTCCCTTTGAAATAAAGCACAACATTCCATTTGCCTTCCATACTACCAGCTGAACATATATGCTAATTTTGCGTGAATTTTGCACAAGGACTCCAAAATCCCTCTGTAACTTTCTGCAGAATTTATCAATTTAAAAACACTCAGTTCTCCTATTCTTCCTGCCAAAGTGCAAATCCTCATGTCTTCTCATATTATATTCCATCAGTTAATTTTTTGCCTACTTGCTCAACTAGTTTATATCCCTCTAGGGTGGGGATGGGGGTCAGTTAGCTTAGTTGGTTGGATGGATGGCTGGTTTGTGATACAAAGCAACACCAACAACATGGATTCAATTCCCACACCAGGTGAGGTTACCTTGAAGGAATCTCTTTCTCAACCTCTCCCCTCAACTGAGTGTGGTTTCCATCAGGTTAAGCCACTACCAGTTATGTCTCTCTCTCTCTAATGACTGGCACTACAGTCTGAATGCATGATGCCTGATGAGCTTGATGACTTGAGTAAAGTGCAATCAGAGAGCGAGGCAAAATCGTGGAATGGCCTGTATGTTTTTGCGAATCCAGGCATGTATCCAGTCTCAGGAGGCCCACTTCCACCATGGAAAATAGTGCAGGGTGACCTGCCAGGAGGCAGCAACTGAAGCAACAATTGGTGTTACTCAGAAATCCCGGACATCTGGCCGACCTAGATCCCAAAGTAGGAGATTCACCATAAAGCCTGGATCCCTCGGAAGTTAGAAGTCAAAGAAAGTGTGAGACGCTCTTTTTGAGCAAATGCTGGATATCACCCCAGCCCTTACATTTTGCCCAGATTAGTGATGTAAAAAAGGGAATGCTGCCACTGATGTGGACTTGGACATTCTAGCCATCATAGTACAATTGACCCTGCTAACTCAGGCAACTGGTTGGCAAACAGTCACTGTGTGCTATGTGTATTTGTTGTGAGGGTAACTATCAACAGCAAAATGTATCATGGAGCTTCCAGTAGCATGTGACAATGGTGAGGGAGACTACTAGGCAAAGGAGCTCAAGCAATTGTGCTGGGAACTCCTGCAGCTGGTGGTAGTAGTGAGGGAGGGAAGCCAGGGCAATCGAATGCACCGTGGAAGGAGAAGACAAACAAAGGATTTCTCAACCCAAGGCCTCAATTTAGGTAAATTTCATGATTTCCTTGATTAACCTTAATTTTCCTTCATGTTTGTTATGATCTTATGTCGTGGAATAAAGAATCCCTGCTTCAAGATCCTTGCATCTTCCATGTGTTCAAATCTCATGTTACATTTTGTTAGTCATTTCTACAATCCAGTATAATGAGTAGTTCCAGAGACAAGGTTTGTAAACAAATTTGAGCCTGGTGAAATTAGAATGTTGTCTTTTCAAGAAAGGTAAATTATCAGCTTCACACAAGATAGTAACAAATTTCACCACAGCCAACTTGACCTGTTTGATTAAGTCCAAATCAAACATTTCAATTGAGACCCATCAAAACTTCAAACATTAAGACAAGCCAGCTTTCTTACAGCTGATCTTTAACTTCCGTAACACGTGCAAATACAGTGGAGGCAGTGTGGGGGTGTGGCACGAATATCATATTCCACTCCACGATTGAACAGCTTACATATAATTTTAGAACCTCAGGGGCATAATCTTCTCCTCCCTGTTGTGTGTGCAAGGGCGAGAAAGTTGGGAGAACACAGTAAGACTGAAAACAATCAGAATCTTGATACTGATAAAAAGATTTCCATTTTCCCCTTGAGCTGTAAATGCTGATTTTTGAACATTGCATTTGAATTTCATTAATAGTCAAACTTGTCATGTATCTGTGTTACTTTTCCTCTCCCTCCCCAAGAGCCTGGAAATGAAAATTGCTGACATGCAAGTCAGAGTGGGTCTCTGGCAGCTGTAGTTCACTGATGCTTATCTAGGCCTTCATCCAACCGTGTCTTCAGCACAATGTTTCTGCGAGCTCCACATGCACCACTTCCCTCAACCATCCTAGTCTGTTGTGCACATATAACACAGACCTCCTTGGGAAGACCTCCATGCCACCCTTTATTTGGGCATGACATGAGGCTTCACTGTGAAAGCTCAAGCATTCCTTCAAAAAAAACTGTTTTATCTTTCCGACAATCTTCACAGATTATCTGCTGACAGATTTCACATACAGTTGCCATGTAGTTCTTGTGACCTCAGTTCAAATGTGACAGAGTAGAAGGAGATAGTAATTACAAGGTGTCACCAAGAATTCCCTCCCTAATGGCATTGTGGGTCAATTTTCAGCATGTGGACTGCAGCGGTTCAAGGCGGCGGCTCACACCCATCTTCTGAAGGGCAACTACGGACAGGCAGTAAATGCTGGCCCAAACAGCGATGCCCACACCCCACAGGTAAATCAAATAAAAATGGTAGCGCTGCACAGCCTCCAGAGGCAGAAATGGGAAAGACAGATTCACCAAGGAGGTGGATGAAAATGATGAGACCTGTGCCGGCCTCATTGTCATTCTCCTCAAAATGTGGTTTGGTCCTTGTTTTAGTTGTCATCAGAAATTTCTGGATGCACACTTACGATGTAAACCTGTCACGCTGCAATGATACCAGCCGGGCAGTAGTAGCGCTGAATAGAGGGGTTCTGAGGAAGGGACGTTATCACTGATTTCTCTGCACAGATGCTGCCAGACCGGCTGAGCTTTTCCAGCAACTTCTGTTTTTGTTTCTGATCCGCGGTTCTCTGGGTTTTTATTTAGTTCTAATGGAAGAAGTAGTGAGAGTACTATTGGGAGGGCGAGTTTTGGAAAGTTGTCACCACAATACACGTTGGTGCTCCGGAATTTATATTAGAAAACACTTGCGGGGGGGGGGCATGCAAAAGTGAAGCTTGCTCGCGTTCCATCGACGTGCAGTAGCTCCTCACGAGAGCAGCTGCCGGCAAAGGCGTCGGATAAAGGTGGTGCTCGGGAATCTGAGTTTGGAAAGCTGCAGGCTGTATTGTTGCGAGTTTGTTTTTGTGCTTGGCGATCCGGCTGCTGGGAGCAGACTTGTCCTCGTGGCCGGCATTCCTGTGGTGGAGACACACTCGCGCCCCCACAGCACGGGCTGCTTTCCCCCGCCCCAGGCACAGCGAGAAAGTAGAAAGCGGCGCCGAGAAAAAGCTGCCAGCACCACACCTCCCCCACCCCACCCCACCCCTCCGGGGTCGAACTCGGCTGCACTTCAGGATTTCTCTTTTTTTGTTGTTGTTGTTGTTGCCCAGTTTTGAAGTTGTGTGCCCGAGCCAGCCAGCTGCAAACATTACATCACTGACAAGAGACCCGGATCCACTCCCAACTTTTGGGCAATGGCTCTGCTCAAGTTTTAGCCAGGAATGCCCGAGCCCCTCTCCCGCCGGCCGCAGAGGACAGACGGCTGAACTCAAGCTGACGGTGAGTCCGGGAGCGGCCGTGAACCGGGGGAGCTCTGCCCGCTGACACTCAGCTGGAAGTAGCCGAGAAGTTTCCGCCTCTTGTCAGATCCGTTCTAGGTGTGGCTTCTTACTGAGCGGCTGCGGAAGTCTCCCGTTACAGATGTCAGCGCGGCTCGCCGAACATCAACAGTTTATTTTCTCTCCAGTTGCGGGAGGTAGGAGGATTTTTTTTTTGAGAGTCTAGTTATATCGGGGGAGAAAGGGGGTGATATACATACATACATACATACACATACACACACAATAGACTGGGGCAATAGCTGTTTCCTGAGGCTTTAATTCTACATATGCTGATTGCATCATTTAATAACAGGCGGTAGTTACAGCGATGCAGTTGTCAAACTCAACAAATGTCTATTAGCTCAATTGTTTCTGAAGGGGAAATTCTACTCCTTTTTAGACGTTTGTTACTTTCGTATGTTGCCCGTTCTACTCTGTACATTGGGGAGTAAACATTTATTTCAATTTGGACGTTCCCAAATTGTAATTTTTGACTTTCAAATGCAGGCGTGGGCGCTGGACTGCTGGAGAACTTTGATGCGTCTCAACCACTTCAGTGCGACGTTTGAATCCGTCCTCTCTTCCTTCATGCACTACCCGCCCTCTCGCCCTTGCCAGCAGTACCGCTATCTTTCAGATGTCGCCCAGATTTCCCCCACCCCCAATATAACCATTAAACAAACGTACGTTAAACCCGCTGTCTTTGCGCTCAAGTTCAATGGTAATCTTTGCCAGGACACTGCCTATTCATTCTACAGAAGCACACTTCATTAAATGTATATGTGTGAACTGCATAAAACTTTGCACAGAATGAAACAACAAACGATGGTCAAAGTTGGAACGTTTCTTACACTCTGTAGAACACGGCTCAAAAAGACAAGCTTACTTGGAATGAATTCCATGTTTTGTTTCCTTAAATGTATGATAGATTAACCTTTAATACTCTCTAAATATAATTCAGTAAATTTGTAGTCTTCCTTACCTTGTGGTATTGAGGTACTAACATTAGAGTTTCAAGGTTAAATGAATGTCCTGACTACACCTATTTATTTGTAACAATAAACTTGCATGGCAAAAAACCTTTTGGATACAAAATTGGCTTGAATGTAGAAGACAAGGTTGTTTTTTGGACTGAAGGCCTGTGACCAGCAGTGTGCTGCAAAAATCTGGGTCTACTGCTTTTCATCTATATAAATGATTTGGGTGTGAATATAGGAGATATGGTTAGTAAGGTCACAGATGACACCAAAATTAGTGGTGTAGCGGAGAGTGAAGAAGGTCATCTTGGAGTACAATGGGACCTTGATCAGATAGACCAATGGGCTGAGGAATGGCAGATGGAGTTTCGTTTAGATCATGTGAGATGTTGCATTTCGGTAAGGCAAACCTGGGCAAGATTTATACAGTTAATGGGAGAGATGTAGGGCTGCAGGTGCTTAAGTTCTTTGAAAGTGGAGTCACAGGTAGACAGGGTGGTAAAGAAGGCATTTGGCACACTTGTCTTCATTGGTCAGAACACTGAATATAGCTTTTGGGATGTCATGTTGCAGCTGTACAGAACATTGGTGAGGCCACAATTAGAATACTGCCTTCATTTATGGTCTCCCAGCTATGAGAAAGATGTTAAACTTGAAAGGTGTCAGAAAAGATTTACAAGGATGTTGCTGGGATTGGAGAGTTTGAGTGAGAGGCTGAATAGGGCTGGGGCATTTTTCCCTGGAGTGTTGGAGGCTGAGAGGTGACCTTTTAGAGAGATTTTAAAAATCTAAGGGGCATGGATAGGTTCAATAGCCAAGGTCTTTTTCCCAGGGTAGGGGAGTCCAGTACTAGAGGACATAAGTTTAAGGTGAGAGGGGAAAGAGTTAAAAGGGACTGGAAGGGCAACATTTTCACGCAGAGGGTGGTGCTTATCTTGGATGAGCTGCCGAAGGAACTAGTGAAGGCTGGTGCAATTAGAACTTTTAAAGGCAGCTGAGTGGGTACGTATATAGAAAGGGTTTAGAGGGATATGGGCCAAATACTGGTGAATGAGACTAGATCAGTTTAGAATATATGGTAGGTATGGATGAGTTAGATTGAAGGATCTGTTTCCATGCTTTATAACTCTGACTCTATAAGTAAAATATTTTGCTGTCTTTACACACACAGTTCTCCTCTCCTTCTCCAGTGTCAAATCATTTTAGCTTTGATTTTTGCTTTATGTTGCTGTAATTTTTTTAAAGAGACTATACAAATAATAGTATCAGCTGGCTCTTGACTTTCAAGAAGGGAACCATATAAAAATCAGCCTGTAACTGATTCTGTTTTCCCAAATAAGCATTGAAGAAACATTTCCTTTTATTTTATTTGCATTAGATGATGCTTCATTGTTCATTGCATTACTTGTTTGTGTCCAGTCAAAGTAGTTTTTATAAAGTCTGATTTAATACTCGCACTTGAGGTATGGCAGCTGTTGGATGCACAATAAACCTCTTTTTCTGTTATGCAATAAGGTATCTTGGAGTGGTCTGTACTGTAACAATATGAGTTCAGTGTTATAAATTAGTTATCTTTATTGACTTTGTCAGACTGGATTCTAAAACTGATTGATATAAGAGACAGTTTTATGCACAGTCTGTACTACCTTGCGATGGATTAAAACAACACAAACTCAAGTTTTCTTAGGCATATGCTCTGCTGCATTGGAACCCAGATTTCAGGTCATTGAATCATACAGCATGGAAACAGACCCTTTGGTCCAACTCATCCATGCTGACCACATTCCCAAACTAAACTAGTCGCTCTTGCCTGCTTTTGGCCCATATTCCTCTAAACCTTTCCTATTAGTTTACATGTCCAAATGTCTTTTAAATGGTGTAACTGTACCTGCATTTACCACTTCCTCTGGCAGTTTATTCCACATATGACCCACCCTCTGTGTGGAAAAAGTAGAAGAGAAGCAAAGTTGCCCCTCAGGTCCCTTATTAAATCTTTCTCCTCTCACCTTTAAAAATATGTCTCCTAGTTTCGAATTCCTCCACCCTGTGGAAGAGTCCTTTGCTATTCCCCTTATCTATGCCCCTTATAATTTTACAAACATCTATAAGGTCACAACAAAATTAATGATAGCACCACTAACTCCAATCCAGCCAAACCCAAACCCAGCATCTGGCTCAGTGATACATTATAGAACAGGGGAATCAGGTGGCTGCATGGTGGGTTTGTGCTGCAGAAATGCCAGTAGTGTGGGTTCCTTTCCTGTACCAGATGAGGTAACAATGAAGGACACTCCTTCTCAACTTCTCCCCTTGCCTGAGGTGTGGTGACCCTCGGGTTAAACCACCACCAGGCATCTCTCTAATGACGAGAGCAGACCTATAGTCTGATAGGACCCTGGCAACTTTATCTTCTACTTACACTGCAGCACTTCAAGGACACAGCTCATCATCACTTGTGAAGAGCGGTAAGGGATGGGCAACAAATGCTAGCCCAGCCAGCAACACTAACATTCTGTGAAAGAATTGTTTAAAAAGTGTCTAGGCCATTAGAGAAACTTTCTGTCCCGATAGAAGACTCTGTTAACCATCTGATTTTTTCAATTTCCTTGAATTCATTTTTTAGGATGCTATTATAACACTCACAGAAAACTGCATGGGATAATTAGATGCTTGGAAAAGGGCAAGTTTTGCTTAGTTTGCAAACAACACTCAATAATGAAAGCTATGGTTCATTTTCAAAACAAGTACTAATTGAAGTTGGTCTCTTTGTTTAAGAAGTTAACTATGGCTTACAGTTGACATTCATGAGGTTAAATTGTGCGAAACATCATTTTTTCATACTGTCCTACCTGCTTATTGTTGACAATGCAATAATTTTAGCACCATTAAGTACTTTATTGAATAGTAGTAGAGAAAATACTGGAGTCCATTTTTACAAAAGTTTTAACAGCAAAGCATTTGGAAAACAGCGACAAGATTGGACAGAGTCAGTGTGGATTCAATAAGGGGAAATCATGCTTGACAGATCGACTGGAATTTTTCAAGGATGTAACTAGTGGAGTTGATAAGGGGAAGCATTTACTTGGACTTTCGGTAGGTTTTTGAAATCTCTCATAAGATTAGTATGTAAAATTGAACTAAATGGGATTAGGGCTAGTGTACTGACATGGATGGAGAACTGGCTTCAGACAGTGAACAAAATGGGAATAAATGTCTTCTTTTGAATAGACCTTCTTTGCTATCAACTATACATCCTAATTTTGTATCATCCTCAAACTTACTAATCATACCTTGTACATTCACATCCAGATCATTTATGTAAATAACAAATAACAAAGAGAAAAGACAGTTTTCCTCAAAATTCACAGATAACATCTTTCTTTCAATTTCTCAACTGGTGTTTCAGAATCTCCCCATATGTCCACCATCTCTCAGGATCTTGGGATTATTACAAAGATGACAGTCCAAAAGACAAAGCAACAATACAGCATCCTCCTTCCTGTTTACTTACAAAAAATGTAAGGTGATTGAAACAGGTAGTAATGAAATAAGGTCCTTAATGCTGCCAGAGACACACACACTTTGGAACATTTTTATTTATTCTTTCAAGCGATGTGGGCATCATTGGCTGGGCTATTATTTACCCACACTCCCACCACCCCTATCCCTGATTGCTCTTGAGAAAGTAGTAATGGGCTGCCAGCATGAATTGCTGCAATTCATGTGGTGTGAATACATACACAGCTATTAGGATGGGAGCTCTGTAAAGGATTGGTAATGTAGTTCCAATTCAGAATGGTGAGTAAACTTTGAGATGAACCTTCAAGTGATGGTGGTCCCATGCATTCTTCCCCATTTGCGTTTCTGTAAATTTGAGTTGATAATGTTACAAGAAGGGAAACGGGACTTCTGGGACCTGAATAAACAGGGCAACTAACGATATTTCCTTTAAATAATCTAACTGAAGCATTGGGAAATAACCTTATCCTTAAAGGTTGTGCTGTTAGAAGGTTCAATTGAAGAAGTGTCGATGAGTTGCTGTAAGGAGCTTCTAAATGGCACACAATGATGTGACTGTCGTTGTGTTACTGATGGAGGGAATGAATGTTTAAGATGGTGAATGAGGTGTCATCAAACAGACTACTTTGTCCTGGATGGTGTCGAGCTTGTTGAGTGTTTGGCCTGCACGTGTCTCACTAATTGGAAAGTGTTGCATCACATTTCTGACTTGAGCTTTGTAGATGCTGGACAGACCATAGGAAATTGAGAAGGATGTGCGAGTTAGAGAATATGAGTTTAATGTCATGTAAGCTGCAAGAAGATAACCAAATATTTTTAATTGGATAAATTAGTGGAAATGAAGGATGCAAGTACAATTACTTAACCAAGTTGGATCTCAGGACATTTTACTTTTCAAGGATCATGGAACATATTGAAATAACTTGGCCCATGGGATAAATGCTGAAAGACTGCACATGATCAAAATGGAGTCAACATCTTCCTGAAGGAGACTGAAATTACTGGGTATAAAAGGCAAGTGGGAAGTTAACATTAGGACTTATGGTCATAATAGTTTTAACTCAATTTTAATAACATTCAAGGATAAGAGAAATGTATTAGAACCATAGAATCTTAGCGCACAGAGGAACGCCATTCAGCTCATTGTGCTTTTGTTGGCCGTTTTTAAACAGCTATCCAATTAGTCCAACTCCTTTTTTCCTCGTATCCCTGAGCATGTTTCAGTTTCAAGCATTTACCCAGTTCCCTTGTGAAAATTACTTGTGAATCTGCTTCGATCACTTTGAGTGTGGTGTGTTCCAGCTCATAACGTTTTACTGAGTAAAATTATGAACTATTCATTATGGCTTCTTATCCATTGTTCTAAGTCTCTGTATTTTATACCCATTTACTGTATCAAAACTCTTCACAATATTGAACCCTTCCATTAAATTTCCCCTCAACCTTCTCTTAGGAGAGCAGCCTCCACTTCCTTCTTGTTTCCACATAATTGAAACCCTTGCACCAGATACTGCTTCAGTAAACAATGTATATCATTTCTTATCTCTCTGTCATTGCTCTCTTGATATTATGTGGGGTCCAGAAGTTGACAATACACCGATTGATTTATAAGTGTT